GTCTAACCATCTTTTGGCAGAAGCATTCAACAGAACAAAATATGTGGTGCATTTAGGATGTTGGTCCTCTTGTGTGTGCTGCCACTGTTAAGGTCATCAGACTCACAGTGACTTTCAGCAATCCATTGTATAGGTAATCATCTTCTTTGGCCTGTACAAGGAAACCCAAACCTGCAGATGGCGGGCAGGCATCCCATCTCCCACCTCCTATGCAGGCGGCCAGCAGGTCGCGCCCCCCCCAAGCGCAGGTGGCCATTGGGGGCGTGCTCCCCCATCCCGCCGCATGGGCGCTCAGTGGGTGCGTGGCCCCTCTTGTGCGGGTGGCTGGCGGGCGCCCGCTTCCCCCACTGCTGCCATCCTTGCTCCAAGAATTCTCTCCAGAACAAGTCCTCTTTGATGCAGTGTGGTGGTTTCTCTGTACCAGTCTTGAGGAGGACCGGTGCCCAGCATCCATCCTGGGTGAGGGAATCCATTGGTTCCAGCTGTGGAAGCCTCATGGAGCTGCAGTGGCTGTGCAGCGCGGCACAGGCTCTGTGGGAGGGGGTTGGGAGCCACGAGGCTCACCCATTCCTCCTTGGGAATCCTTGAATTCCTGTTGTTGAGCCTTGATCTTCACTGAGGGCCAGTCATCAACTGTTTAAGTGTTCAATTATCAATAAGCTGAAGTCCGTGGAAGGCCATAATGGCCCTGCTTTAAGTGATTCGCTGCTCCCGCAGCTCACCACGCTGTCTCTGCCTCCACCACCATCTTGGATCCACAAATGCCTTTTTTTAAGGTACTACACAGGGACTAAACATGTAGGCTTTACTGAAAGGAATACACAAGAATCAAACTCACTACATCAGCGGCTTCAGGGGCCTCATCCTCCTCTTCTTCTTCTTCTTCATCTCCCTCATTTTTGTAATAAGATGCCCAACCTGACATAGCAGGTACTGCTCACTTTAGTGCAGAAAATATCAACTTGCAGATATATCCTCATTTTACAGAAGAAATAATTTAAGCACATTGGATGGTTCTAGAACTTACCCTAAGATGAGGCTAGTGAGGGATAAAACTGGGATTGAACCCAAAGAGTCTGGAAATAATGTCTACTCTGCTGGCAATCCCACAGGGAGGTTGCAAAGACCTTCTTCATTCACTCAGGTCTTCATTCATTCTTCCTTGGTTGTACCTGTCTCAGAAGGCTATCAGGATAGTAAATGAAGTACTTCATGTAGTGCATTCTAAACTGCAGATTCTTACTTGGATCCACAATCAATGCCTTTGGTGCCAACAGTTCGGAAATCAAGAGATTTATTACATTGGGAAAGTCTGCAGTTATGGCTCTTTCCAAATTATTGAAAAGTGATGATGTCAGTCTGAGGACTAAGATGTGTTTGATTCAGGACATGGTCTTTCTGATCACTTGCTGCACATCTGAGAGCAGGACAATGAATATGGATGACAGAATTGTTGTCTTTGAGCTGTGGTGTTGGAGAAGAGCACTGAACATCCCATGAATGGCCAAAACAACAAACTGGAGAATGTACAGCCAGAGTGCTCCTTAGAGGCAAAGATGACCAAGCTTTTATCTCATATACTTCGGGTATGTTTTTAGAAGAGGCTATTCCTTGGAGAAGGACACCATTCTTGGAAAGGTGGAGGGTTGGTGAAAGAGAGGAAGACACAACTGGATGGACTGAAAGACTGCTGTAGGGGGGTCTAGTATTCAGAGCTGATGAGGATGATACAGGATAGGACAGAGTCCAGATCTGTTATCATTAGGGTTGCTATGGGTCATATTTGGTGACACTTAACAACAATAATGATGAGAACACTTTTGAACTGTGCATGCAAGCTCAGCACCATGTCCAGCCAGAGTGATGCTGAAGAGGCAGCTCTCCACTTTATAACTGCAACAGTGTCCTGGGGTCATACCAAAGCCAAAGACTTAAGTGTAAGTCATGCTGTGGCCTAGCCAGAGCAGAAATAATTTAGCAAGTATCGCAGGGAAGTTTCTAAGAGGAAGAAACATTTTTTTAAAAAATTATACATTAATTGCTGCACATTTTATTCCCTCCCCTTCCCTTCCCCTTTCCCCCAGTCCACTTTGCAATACACCTCTTGTTCCAGATTGTTCTCATACATACAATACCTAATCACATATTCCTTTCGAACCATTCTTCCCCTCATCTTTTCCAATACAGTGTTCATTATCTATTCACTCTTTTCCTATTCTCCCCTTAGACATTCATGTCTGTCCTATTTTAGAACAGCAGTATTTAATAAAAATTTCAGCAGGCCTTCACTGGCATGTGCTAGGTCTTCCTATGGGCACTTTACATGTATTAATGCATTTATTCCTCCTTGTAATTCTAGAAGGTGCATAATCACAGCCCTATTTCACAGGTAAGGGCACTGAGGCATGGAGACATTAGAAGATGTACTCAGGTAACAGAACCTACAGCATAAAGCAATGATGAGCAAACTTCAGCCATTCAGAAACGGCCGCATCTGCTTCTGTTCATATTTCCTTAATACTTAAATTAGGGAATGCTAGTGGCCTAGTCCATGTAGAGTGACACTGCTAATCCAAAGGCCATGCCTCTCGGGTTGTTCATATCCACCAGTGGCTCCTTAGGAGAAAAATGGAAAATCAACTTATGTGCAATTAATTGACAGCTTTAGAAATCCACCGGAGTGGCAGCTAGGAGTCAATTTTGACTCAACAGCAGTGGGTTTTTTTCCTTTTAGTTTAATAATACTTCAAATACTCTTTCTTATTTGAATAAATATATAATTTAGTATGTTTGTTGGGAAACTGGTATAAATGGGGGAAAATGTCAAAATTTTTTGATAAAAGCTTTGAATACAAAGCCAGAAGAGAAATAAAGCTGTTAGTACAGAGACTTTCTCATTGTGAACTCAGAGGGTTTTAAAAGAAGTAAAGAGTAATTTTCCCACCATGCATAGAAAGCAATTTAGCTTCTTATCTGCCCTGTCCAAGAACTTGGGAAAACAGTGTCATGTGGGTTAAGAGTGAAGAATTGGGAAATAGATCTCTCTGACTGCTAGGTAGTTAGCCTGTTCTGGCGGAGGTTTCAACTGATAATGTACAGATAATACTAGCAGTTATTTCATAGGGACCTTGTTTATAGAATGAAAAAAATAAGTAAAAGAATGCAGGTAAATCACAGAACGTGATATGTGCTTAATAAACATACTCTAATCATAATTCTGGAATGGAGGAGTGGCGTCCACTTCCATAATAGCTTGCCTCCTGGAAACCCTATGAACCTGGAGAGAGGATGAGAGACACCCAAGCGTTGAGGACTCTCCTTCATAGGGTCGCTATGAGTCCCCTGCGACTAGACAGACGGCACTTAACAACAACAACAACAACAACAACAACAACAATCATAATTCTCATCCCCCTTCTGATGGTTTTCTGTACCCTGGGGTCATAGTAACGAATGCTCTTATGACGATGGAAGCCATGCCATCAGTATTTCAAACGCTAATCTTGGTAGACATATTTCAGCGGAGTTTTTTATTAAGATGAGTTAGGAAGCAAAGCCTGAGGAGTTACTTTTGAAAATTAGCCAATGAAAATCCAAGGGGTTTTAACTAGACTGTTGTCTGGTGGAGTGCTGGACAACGCCGCGTACCTTTCTCAGCTTGGAAGGCCCTCAAAATACACAATGTCTACAGAAACAGACTCTAGCATGCCCTTGATAGTGAAGGTAGCAAAGGAAGGACTGGGCAGTATTTTGTTCCGTCGGAACAAGTCGGAGACAGCAACTAACAATGTTATTGTGGTTATTATTATAAGCTTCTCTCGCAGGTTCTGTAATGGTTTTGTATTTTTACCCATAAAATGATAATCTTATAACAAATTAATCTCTATGTGACCTATTATAACAATTTATTTTTATCTCAAGGTCGCCATAGATGAAATTTTGGTGTAAAGTACTGCAAAATCGCCCAGAAGACCCTCATGTGGCCTTCTCTTAGCCCCTTGATTCTGGGTCGACCTTGGGACAGGGATGATGAGATCTGAGTGACAGATGACAAACCCCTCCTCCTCTTCGCCCCGCCCTCAGGTGGCTCATAGCCCCGCCCCTGGCTCGCCTCCTATCCAGGTTCGCCTCGCCCCGCGGGTCTGCGCGTCGGGCTGCGTGCTGACGTCACGGCGCGCGTCTTCCCGCGCCTGCGCAGCTTGCCGAAGGTCGTTCTGACCGGCTCGGGTGTAGGAGACGTTGCCGCCATGTTATCGGTCGCCGCCCGCTCGGGTCCTTTTGCGCCCACCCTGTCGGCCACGGCGCGCGGGGTGGCGGGCGCTCTGCGGCCCCTCGTACAGGCCTCCGTGCCCGCCACCTCGGAGCCAACTGTGCTGGATCTGAAGCGGCCCTTCTTGTCCCGGGAGTCGCTGAGTGGGCAGGCCGCGAGCCGGCCTTTGGTCGCCTCTGTGGGCCTCAATGGTGAGCCGGCTGGGGGGAAGCTTTCGGGGGGCTGAGGGATCCCCAGCTTCGCATTCTCTGGGGCCCGGGACCCAGGTTGCTGCGGAGGAGGACGGGATACGCGGGGCATGTGTCGGGGCCCCGGCCGCGACCTTGGGCGGACGCCGGCATCTGTTCCCCAGCGTCACCTGTGCGGAGATGCTGCTGGGACCGGCGGTCTTAATTGAGTGACTTTGCGGACCAGGTGCTCAGGTCTCTAGGCGTCCTATCGTGGGACGAGGCCAGGGCTCGCGACCGCAGACCAGACAGACCCCCTCGGTTAAGTTCAAGAGCCTTGAAGTCTGACCGCCCCCCGCGGAGTCTGGTCTCCAGTTTGCAGGTGCTGCGACCTTGAAGCGCGAGTGAAGGCGGTGCTGGGAGCTCAGATGAGCAAGTAGTTCATTTGTGGAATGCGACTTGCAGGGATGTTGGGAATCTTAGAAGGGAATGAACGCCCTGTGTAAAGCTGTTAAGCACAGTTTTTGTCACATAAGAAAACTCAGGAGTTAATACTTTAGAAAGTTGTGTGTCCCCCATCAGTGACCTCCCCTTAAACAGTAATAACATGACCCTGGGGAAGCTTCCTGTCAAGTGTCCTGTGTGCAGTCACTGGGCCAAAGGGTTTTCACACTGATCCGTTTAATCCTCAAGCAGAACGGGCAGAGGTTGAGAGGTTGGTGATACTCCCGTTTAAGAGATGAGGTGAAGTGACTTGTACCAGATTCAGTGTGTACCTGATAGTGGTGGCAGAGCAGGCCTTGGACAAAAGGAGTTGTCTGCACTCTGCACTCTTCTTCCAGACCCCAGCTTATTTTCTGTCTCCCGTTTCTCCTCTTTACATTTTCTCTGTTGGAGATTATCACCTGGCAGTCTGTGGGGAGTGTGCCCATTATTTTCCCCCAGCTTATGTAGTTTGGAGGTATCTGGCGACTCTTGGGTAGGAAGAGTCGTGTAGTGGACACTGGCGGTTCCAGTACTTGAAGCAAGTGTCCTCCAGCTCACCTGTCATCTCCAGGCCCACTTGACCTAGTGCTGCCTGCTTGGTCCCATTTACAGTTAATTTCTGACTCTAGTTCTTGATTCTCCACAGCTCGCCGCCTACTTTCTTCTTCCTTCATTTGCCCTGTTCTCTTCACTTTTCATGACCATCCCAGGCAATTTTTCATGTATCTCAAGTTTTTACCTATCCTTTCATTCTCAGTTAAAAACCCCAAGCCAGTAAAGTTTTATATCATCTAATTCCTGTATGGCTTTAGTAGCATATAGCACATGCCACTCGTTATTGTGTTCATAGGTGATTCCTTTGGCTTGAGGACATGGAAAAGGTCTCTTTTACTTTTCTAGCGCCCCAAAACTCAGGCTTTATGTAGAGTTGATGCAAAATATTTATGAATGCCTAAAATGACAATTGTTCTCTGGCACTACTAGGGTTTAGATACATTGTGTAGAACGTGAATACAATGGGCCCATACCAGCCTAGAGGTAAGAAACAGTAGAGGGAAAATTTCAATATCAAAGGTCAAACACGTCTTTGGGATTCTTCATATAGCAAATTTGGGACATTAGCCAATTTGAAGTACTTTTTCTCAAACAGGCCTATAACTTTTAAGACCTTTGTAGTGAATTAATTGAGTCCTTGGCTGCAAACTGAAAGATTGCCTGATCAGACCCATGCATGGGTTCCACAGGAGAAAGACAGTGCAGTTGAATTGGTTCTGACTCAGAGCAATCCTCCATCTAGCTTCTGAGGTTGTAAATCTTCATGGAAGATGGTGGTGTGTACCGTAGAGTTGGAACTGACCCTCAGTCAGGTTTTTAGAGACAGTAAATCACACAGGAGGTGATTGCCCAACTTTCTCCCATTGAGTAGCTTGTGGATTCAAACTGCGGGCCTTTTGCGTTGGCAACACAGTCCCTTAAGCCCAGTTTTCTCTACCAGGGAGAAGCTGGTGGATTTGAACTGCTGACTTTTCAGGTAGCTGATGTATCTGTTACACATTATGCTAACAGGGCTCCCCTTGCAGAGATTACAGCATAGAAAGCCTTAAGTTCTACCCTGTAATTTAGTGTTAATGTTAGTTGAAAATAGATTAGATGGCACCTAATAACAATAAAATACTAGCCTTTTTCTGTAATTATAAGTTTCTCACTGAGGCTTACATTAAAATCCGTTCAGTTGGTTTTTGGAAAGATGTATAAATAGGGGCCTGAGAGGCTTGATCAGGAGAATTTGCTTGAGTTGGAGAAGATTAAACTATGATAGCTCTTTATGTTTATATTCAGGTGATAACTCTTATGTTAATTATTGCCTTATGTTTATATTCAGGTCACCCAGGGCTCACCTAAAACCACAGACATCTGATTTTGCTTTGGATATAATATAATCTCGCATCTTTGCTACTTGAAGTCAGATCTAATATAGGTTCTGAATATTAGAAAAAGATATTTGCAACATGTAGCTTATGTAAATGTTCTTAGTGATGTGTCTTATTATTAAGTGGTGTTCATTCCCACTCATAGCAACTCCGTGTGACAGAGTTATAGTCTTAACAGGAATGGAGCAACAGGTTAACTTCTCTACACACTCGACTCACCTCATTGCCCAACGGTGAGTTGAAAAGAACTCATAGTGGACCTTTGTAAATAACACAGGAGAGAATTGCCTATCTTTCTCCGATGATGCCACTGATAGGTTCTTTGGGGTGGCAATGCAGTTCCTTACCTTCTCTCTGTCACTGCCATTGATTCCAAACTGACACATCGCTGGACCTCCAGCAGGTTTTCAGATACTGTAAATCACAATGGAGGAGAGTAACCTTCTTATCTAGAATGGCTTGTAGATACAGACTTTGAGTTTGTAGCACAACTCCTTACCCACTTGGTCACCAGATGGATGAATGTCTATATATTTATGTCTGTGTATAGATAGAGATAAATATTCATACACATTTTTATTATTTCTGAAGCCTGTGACAGTGATGTGCCAATCGTGGTAATCGGCACCCATGGTGGACAGTGTTGGCTGGAGCTTCCCGACTAAATCAAGCCTGGAAGCAGGAGCGGCATCCACTTCCAAAATGGCTTGCCTCTGGAAACTCTATGTACGAACAGTGCTCAGGCTGTTCGTTCATAGGGTCACTATGAGTCGTCTATGACTCGACGGCATTAAACAACAACAACAACATATATTCTTTATAAATATATTTTTTTTTTAAATCTTGGGGACACTAGGGAAAGATGACTGTTGCAGTCTCAAGCTCCATCTACATCGACAGGTTTAATTCAGGGAGTGTTTGTTGGGTGCCCTCAGGTAGACCACCAGTCATCTGTCCTGTGGACAGTATACCAAGCCTTGCCCTGTCCTTCTCTGTCTTCACTATCTTCCATGCTCGAGCCCATTGTTAGAGTGACTGTGTCAATCCATAGGTGTTCCTCTCTGCTGAGCCTCTACCTTTGCCAACATGATGTCTTTTATCCCCCTCCTGATAAAAAGCCTAATGTGTGTCTTACTACTCTCATCTCCAAGGAGCACCCTAGTTGCACTTCCTCCAAGACAGATTTGTTTATTCCTTGGCAGTCCATGGTGTGTTCAGTATTCTTCACTAACATCATAATTCAGATATCAGTTCTTTTTGGTCTTCCTAATTTCACATGCAAGCAAGATTCTACTGAAGATTATCCAAAAACGACTGGAACAGTACCCGAGCAGAGAATTGCCAGAAGTCCAGGCTGAGTTTAGAAGGGGTCATGGTACTAGGGATATTGTAGCTGATATTAGATGGATCTTAGCTGAAAGAAGGGAATACCAGAAGAATGTCTATCTGTGTTTCATTGATTATGCAAAGGCATTTGACTGTGTGGATCATAGCAAACTGTGTCTGACTCTGAGAAGAATGGGAATCCCAGAACATTTAATCGTGCTAATGCGAAACCTATACTTGGACCAGGAGGCAGTCGTTAGAACAGAGCAGGTTAAGACTGCATGGTTCAAAATTGGGAAGGGTGTACGCCAGGGATG